GGCGTGGCACATGTTGCGAAGGGGCTCCTAACAGAGGTACGCGAAAGTAGGGAACATCAGGACAAGGAGGAAGAGTAACCCAGTTCCCGTCGTCGGACGGCACGCCCTACGTCGAACCAGGTAGAAAAACCGCCAGTAAAAATTATCAGGGGGATCAGCTCGTTTTCAAGCTCCCGAGCTTAACAGTTCTAGTTTCTGATTCGGATCAGTTATCATACCCCAAACAGTTGAAAGTATTTAAGACACTGACACAATACAGGAATCTTGTTTCTTTTTTCAGTACCAAATGGCAAATGTGTTCAACGAGGTAAAAAATTACATGGGTGTCGGTACCTGGAGACAGAGTCAACAGATTTACGTCCCACAGAAAGACTGGTATTGCTCGAACAAACCTTCAGACCCGACGATGCTTAGCAAACAGGAAAGTAGGATGAATCAAGAGGAAACATAAGGTATGACCAAAGAAAAGGGGGTGGGGGGTAGAGATGGGCGGTGGAGTTGGAGGTAGGGAATGGCGGGCAGAAAATGCGTTGGATCTCAGGCTGTAAGAAATTAAGCTTGCTGTACGGAGTTAAAGCCGCGAAGCTAAATGGTCGGCGAGTCGTAAGGAATAGCAACCAAAAGAGGCACGTTGGGAAATCAGGCGACGATAAGTGGTTTTAGAATATAACCGTAACAAAAATAATTTGAGCTCAACAGTCTGAGTAGATACAAAGTCAACCTCAGAGGGTAGCAGATTGCTGCGCATAAATGGGATCCAAAGTAACTGTTCAATACAAGGTACACTGTACATATGAAACATTATGCTAGCGAACAACACACGTTGGACCGCTCCGGATAAGAGGTAGGACGCTTAAGTTATAAACACGCGCATGTATACGCAAAAAATGTCGTTTTCGGGGGTGCGCGAGGAAGATTTTGGTGTCATCAGTTCCAAGCTTGGGTTGCACACAGAGTGGAAGCATACCGGGTTGTCTTCATTCAACCATCCTTCCAGACCAGCTTTACTTTCTTGAACTTCGCGGGTGGTTTTTTCGCTTG